CACAGATCAATCGAACAGAATAGAGTCTCAAAATAAACCTATAATTATAAGGTCAATTAATCTTTGATAAAGCAGGAAAGAATATGCAGTGGGAAAAAGACAGTCTCTTCAACAAATGGTGTTGGGAAAACTGGACAGCAACATGCAAAAGAATGAAATTGAACCACTTTCTTACACCATACACAAAAATAAATTCAAAATGGATTAAAGACCTAAATGTAAGATCTGAATCCATAAAAATCCTAGAAGAGAGCAAGGCAGTAACTTCTCTGATGTCAGCTGTAGCAACTTTTTTCTAGATAGGTCCCTTGAGGCAAGGGAAACAAAAGCAAAAATAAACTATTGGGACTTCATAAAAATAAAAAGCTTCAAGGAAACAATCAACAAAACTAAAAGGCAACCTACAGAATGAAAAAAATGTCATATTTGCAAATGACATATCCGATAAAGGGTTAGTATACAAAATATATAAAGAATTTATACAACTCAACACCCAAAAAACAAATAATCCAATTAAAGAATGGGCAGAAGACATGAACATATTTCCAAAAAAGACATATAGATGGCCAATGGACACATGAAAAGATGCTTAACATCACTCATTGTCGGGAAATGCAAATCAAAACTACAATGAGGTATCACCTCACACATGTCAGAATGGCTAAAATCAACAACACAAGAAACAACCTGTATTGGCAAGGATGTGGAAAAAGGGGAACCCTCATGCACTCTTGGTGGGAATGCAAACTGGTGCAGACAATGTGGAAAGTAGTATGGAATTTCCTTAAAAAGTTAAAAAATAGAACTACCCTGTGATCCAGCAATTGCACTATTGGATATTTACCCAGATAATTCAAAAACACTTATTTGAAGGGATTTATGCACCCCAATTTATAGCAGCATTATTTATATGGAAGCAGCCCAAGTGTCCATTGACTAATGAATGGATAAGGAAGATGTGGCATATATATTTTATATATATATATATATACATATATATATAATGGAATATTATTCAGCCATGTAAAAAAATGAAATCTTTCCATTTACAATACATGGATGGGGCTAGAGAGTATCATGCTAAGAGAAATAAGTCAGTCAGAAAAAGACAAATGCCGTATGATTTCACTGATACAGAATTTAAGGAACAAAACAAATGAGCAAGTAGAAAAAAAGAGAGAGACAAACCAAGAAACAGACTTTTTTTTTTTTTTAAGATTTTATTTATTTGCGAGAGAGAGAATGAGAGACAGAGAGCATGAGAGGGAGGAGGGTCAGAGGGAGAAGCAGACTCCCTGCTGAGCAGGGAGCCTGATGCGGGACTCGATCCAGGGACTCCGGGATCATGACCTGAGCCGAAGGCAGTTGCTTAACCAACTGACCCACCCAGGTGCCCCAAGAAACAGACTTTTAATTACCAGAGGAGAGTTGGGTGGGGGGATGGTTAAATAGGTGATGGGGATTAAGGAGCACACTTGTTGTGATGAGCACTGGGTGATGTATGGAATTGTTGAATCACTATATTGTACACCTGAAACTAATATAACGCTATGTTAACTGGAATTAAAAAGACTCTTAAAAAAATAATACAGGATCAAGTGAAAAAAGAAAACTTCAAAGCATTACCTATGGGTTGATCCCATTTTCATAAACAAACAAAACCCTCAAGAACTCACACTCCTTCCCCTATGATAACTTATGGAATCACAGTAACCCAACTGAAGAGGCCTCTTGTAGTTTGGTAGCATTTTGATCAAATAATTTGTGTGCTTTATTTTAATTAGAGAATTATAGAAATGTATTGTTTAGGTTCCCAGGAATCACATGGGAAACAAAATATGGGTTCTAATCTTGGCTTTATTATTTAAGCCAAGTCATTTAATTTTTATAAGTGTGTTTCTTTATCTGAAAAACCTAAGGCCTAGGGATACATTATCAGTAACAAGAATTCCAGCTTTCTGGTCCTATAATTATAAGCATTTCCCCAAGTATGGTCCATGGAATACTGATACAATAGGACATTTACGGGTCTTAAGTAAATAGAGTTCGGTCATCAATATATTTGAGAAAGCACTGGTTTAAATGAAGTTAGACATGTTTCCTTAGGTAAGACTTTTCACTTTTTTTTGTTCAGCTTAAGGGTATTGTGAGTTTTCAAGAGAAGTACAGTTGTAGCATTTCCTGTACATAATTTGCCACAGATTTTCCTCTTTCCCTAAACCCTGAGAATTTCATGGAAGTAGTGTTCTATATAGCAGGTGTTGGAATATACTAATTTAAGGCAATGTACATTTTATTTTTTTATTTTTTTAAAGATTTTATTTATTTATTTGACAGAGAGAGACACAGTGAGAGAGGGAACACAAGCAGGGGGAGTGGGAGAGGGAGAAGCAGGTTTCCCGCTGAGCAGAAAGCCCGATGTGGGGCTCGATCCCAGGACCCTGGGGTCATGACCTGAGCCGAAGGCAGACGCTTAACGACTGAGCCACCCAGGCGCCCAAGGCAATGTGCATTTTAGAAAAGTTTTTCTTTTCTTTTCTTTTTTTTTTTTTAAAGATTTTATTTATTTATTTGAGAGAGAGAATGAGACAGAGAGAGCATGAGAGGGTCAGAGGGAGAAGCAGACTCCCCGCCGAGCAGAGAGCCCAATGTGGGACTCGATCCTGGGACTCCAGGATCATGACCTGAGCCGAAGGCAGTCGCTTATCCAACTGGGCCACCCAGGCGCCCCAAGTTTTTATTTTCAAAGTACTGAGTCCCTATGGTTAATTTTCAGGCATTGTAATAAGCAATGAGGGAAATTGTTTTGTGTAGTGATTGTCTTAAATCACATTATATGTTGGAATTCTAACTTGCAAGTTTAGGCTGACTAAACAATGAAGAAGAAACTGAAAAAATTAACAAAAGAACACAAATTAAAAAAAAAAAAAAGAACACAGGGGCGCCTGGGTGGCTCAGTCAGTTGAGTGTCCAACTCTTGATTTTGGCTTGGGTCATGATTTCAGGGTCTTGGGATTGAGCTCCACGTTGGGCTCTGCACTTGTCCTCCTCCCTCTGCTCCTCCCCCTACTCACACTCTCTCTCCCTCTCAAATAAATTAATAAAATCTTAAAAAAAAAAGAACACAAATTAAAATGTGTGATGAGCATGAATCATTTTAGAACAAGAGAGTGAAATAGAAGCTCTTTTCACACTAAAAGACTGTTCTATTTCATAAAATCAGTCCAAAAAAAACAGGTTTGGCTGGTCTATTCAGTTTAAAATATTATATATATAAAAATAATACAATGTAGATATGGAGCACAGTGTAGGTATGCACAGAATATAATATTATGGATGAAAAACAAATAGGAAAAAAATTAGATGGTTTGAAATAGTGGATATATTGTGCTTTCCTGGTTATTTGGGGGATTGGGCCACCAATATAGACAAACTAAATAAAAAAGTGGAGTGTACTTCTGGAAAGAACACAAATAACAAAATTATCTCTGTTGCAGAAAATAGCATAATCTCTTTAATGATTATTTTAAAGGTCAACTGGTAGAAGTTTGCCAAAATTGTTTTGTGTGGGTGTATCAGCAGTTGGTATTAGTTAAAAAAAAAAAAACCCAAACCAAAAACCTGTTGTTTAGCACTTTATTTTTTACTTATTTTTATTTTTATTTTTTTAAGATTTATTTATTTATTTATTTGAGAGAGAGAATGAGATAGAGAGAGAGAGAGCATGAGAGGGGGGAGCATCAGAGGGAGAAGCAGACTCCCTGCTGAGCAGGGAGCCTGATGCGGGACTCGATCCCGGGACTCCAGGATCATGACCTGAGCCGAAGGCAGTCAGTCGCCCAACCAACTGAGCCACCCAGGCGCCCTAGCACTTTTTTTTTTTTTTTAAAGATTTTATTTATTTATTTGACAGAGAGAAACACAGCGAGAGAGGGAACACAAGCAGAGGGAGTGCGAGAGGGAGAAGCAGGCTTCCTGCTGAGTGGGGACCCTGATGTGGGGCTTGATCCCAGGACTCTGGGATCATGACCTGATGGCAGATGCTTAACGAATGAGCCACCCAGGTGCCCCTGTTTAGCATTTAAAGAGTTATTCTAGATTACATAAATGTCAAATTTCAAAATGTAAATTATTTAATGTGTGGAATATCTGACGCAAAATTTTAACATCTAGTTTATTTGCTCTGCCATACAATGTACTTCTGGGCCACAGTTTCCCACAGGAGATGGTATATCAGAACTAATTTTAATAATATACAAAGTAAAACTTAATCATGAAGGTAAGTCTACCATCCAAATAAAAACAAAACAGCCAGATAATGGATTCTAAAGCCAAATTAATTATTTACTAACATAAAATTCTTAAGGATAAAAGCAATACTGAAGTCTACATTTTTCCAGTTATTAAGTCTCTACCTCACAAGTCATTAAGCTACATTTCTGGGTGGGTGAAGGGAATGTCATCACTCTAATCCAGGGTCCACATCAGTATTATTTATTGTGAGTCAACAGATAGTATGTGTCTTCTGAGGAGAGGCAATATGGTATTCAGAATGTACCTATTAAGTATTCTAGCCAGAAATACTTACTTTGAATTCATTAAAACCTTACGTATAACAGCCAATTTACAAAAAAACCCCACAGGGGACAGTGGAATAAACCAAATGATAACACAAGGAAGAAATTAGACAAATCATAAAGTGTGACATTCTCCAGGATAATTGTCCCAGTTCCTTCAAGTCAAGGTCATAAAAAAGGGACAGTACTAGATAAAGAGAGACTTAGCCATATCAACTCGATGTAATGTGTGGTTCTGGACTGGAGACTAGTTTGGACAAACCATTTTTGTGTCATTACGGAATTTTTAGGACTATATTCTATGTGTTAGATAAAAGAAATATTTACTAAAATAGGTGGACATCATTGGCTGATAAAAGCAGGCTACAAAACAGCATACACAGTATGAATTGATTTAGTTTAAAAATATAGAAAGAGGGGCACCTGGGTGGCTCAGTCGTTAAGCGTCTGCCTTCGGCTCAGGTCATGATCCCAGTGTCCTGGGATCGAGCCCTGCATCAGGTTCCCTGCTCTGCAGGAAGCCTGCTTCTCTCTCTCCAGTTCCCCCTGCTTGTGTTTCCTCTCTCGCTGTGTCTCTCCCTGTCAAATAAATAAATAACATCGTTAAAAAAATAAATAAATAAATAAAAATAAAAATAAAATATAGAAAGAGAACCAGGAAGACATACATCACTAAGGTGTTAAATGTAGTAGAAATGTAACATTTTTATTTTTGTTTGTCTATATTTTCTACAATGCAATTCATTAATAAAGGGCTATTAACAACAAAATATATGGCCCTCAAGGAAATGAGTTTCCCAATGACTTACCAGGCTGTATATTAGGAAGGGAATTTGACAAAAGCTAAGTTTTTCTGGGTCTCGATTCTACAAGTGAACGCTGGACTTCTAGTCTCCTGTAAATGTTTCTTTTTTTTTTTTATAAAGATTTTATTTATTTATTTGAGAGAGAGAGAGAATGAGAGAGAGAGAGCACATGAGAGGGGGGAGGGTCAGAGGGAGAAGCAGACTCCCCGCTGAGCAGGGAGCCCGATGCGGGACTCGATCCTGGGACTCCAGGATCATGACCTGAGCCGAAGGCAGTCGCTTAACCAACTGAGCCACCCAGGCACCCTCATGTAAATGTTTCTGTCTCACCCCATTCCTATCCCCCATTCTTCTATCAGTCAAATATTTCTGAGAGCCTTTCACAATTTAAGAGTAAACTCTTCTTGTCTCCTAAAGACACACAGAGAAAAGGATTAGGCTTCTTTCCCCACTTTAGGAAATGGTGGATGGAATCCTTTTTCTGTTGGGCCCCTTACTCACTGGTGTCCTGAGGACACAGGAGTGGCAAACCAGATGGGCTAGAGCTTGACATTCTCTAGAGCACAGTTTACTGGTGGTAGGGCTGCTGGGTCTAAAGTGTAACTCTGCACTTTTAGTTGTTTTTTTTTTTTTTTAATATCGGAGGAGATCGGGTTTCTAGCTCTGATGTGCTAGCTGGACATCTGGGCAGAGCCTCCTCAGCAACACACACCATGAGGATATGACCTGTTACCCTCTCTCTGTTTTACCTGTAGCTGCCTGTCCACCATTCTCTCTCTTGCTGTTCCAGCTTCTCATGTACAATGGGGTAAGTCAGCCAACCAGCCATCTTCCTTTCTGTGGGAAGAAACTTTGGTCTCAGCCCAATAGTGTAATTAGTGCAACAATCTCTTCTGCATAGTAGGGGACACATTTTTAGAGGCTATACTAAATGTACTTTGTTGACAGGAAAAATCCCAGAAAAGTGTAATTGGTTCCTAAAAGAAATATAAAAATGCTTCATAGACATTTCATAGAAATTTTAGAGCACATGAAGTATCCATTCCTCACAACACTTTAGGAAAATTATGGTACTATGCATGCTTTCAGAATAACATGCCAGGTAGTATAATCTTGATAAAATGTACCTGTTTTTCTACTCTTTCTTTTTTTTTAATTTAATTTAATTTTATTACGTTATGTTAATCACCATACATTACATCATTAGTTTCTGATGTAGTGTTCCATGATTGTTTCTTAATTCACTCCTACTTCCCTATTGAATATTCTGATATTTTAATTAAAAAGCATATAATCAAAACAAATAAATCCAGAGGTTGAACATCTACATTCTCTTAGAAATTTGGAATTTCATAGAAATTTCTTATCTGAAAAATCACCCCTTAAGCACAATGTACTAAAAAGCACCCCTACAGCAACTGACTATAACTTTTATTAACAGATTCACGTATCAGTGTGGGGCCTGGATTGACATTATATAATCTATGATTTCAATCTCTAGCTCATGCTTGGTACACAGAATTGCAGGTTGCCCTGAAAAACGAGAACAAGAAAAACAAAAAAGCAAATCCTCAACGCAGTTAGCATGAGAACACAGTGACATTTGGTATTTTTGGTAAAGCAGTTATATGGGTCAACCCATGCATTAGCATATAATTTCTTCTATCCACCAAAAGAGTTGATCAGGTAAAAATATTAACTTAATTGATCAGACAATTATAAATTCTGCACTATCAAAGGAAACAAGTAAGGAAGAAAAAGGTGAGGTTAGGTGGGTGGGTTTGTTCTGGGGAATTGATTAGGGTGTGTTATCAGAAAACAAGGCATTATAGCTCATAAAGAAGAAATTCATTGCAGGGGGCACCTGGGTGGCTCAGTTGGTTAAGCAACTGCGTTTGGCTCAGGTCATGATCCTGGAGTCCCTGGATCGAGTCCCTGGATCGAGTCCCTGGATCGAGTCCCGCATAGGGGTCCCTGCTTGGCTGGGAGTCTGCTTCTCCCTCTGACCCTCCCCCCTCTCATGTGCTCTCTCTCATTGTCTCTCTCTCAAATAAATAAATAAAATCTTAAAAAAAAAAAAAATTCATTGCAGGAAGAGAGCCAAAAGAGACATAACTTCTTTTAACCACTTATTTGTCTTTGTTTAATAACATAATTATAAAACATAATAATATATAGCATTTTTAAAATTATTTAGTATTTTTCATAATATTTACACTTGGTATCTTCACCATTAGGTTGTTCAGGGTATGTAATGTCTTGATTTTACTCCACTGTTTTTGATAGATAAAGAAGCTGGGAAATGACAATCCTAGCAAATTGCCAAAGGTAGGGAAAGTATTTAATAACAATATTGGAAGTAGAACACATCACTCCTGCCTCCTAACTCAGTGTAAACAGATGTGTGCATTTCCACAATTTTTCAGGCTCTGGTTACCTGGAGATTTCTGGTGAAGAAATTTCTTGAAGTAAACACATGGTTTAAGTATTTTCTACTTGTGATTTTGTCTTTTAATTATGTCAGTGTGTTTTTTTAAATGTGTTTTGTTTTTATGATTTTTACTTCTGATAAAATCTAATGGAAGAAAGTATATTAACTGCTCCTTGAAGGTATCTTCGAAAAATTCACATTATGACTCAAAATAAGATAACTCAGCACAAGCCTGTATACTATATTTATTAATTTAGTCAAGAAACATTGAGTGTCTGACAACAGTTATTACTTCACTTGTTTTCATGCCAACCTTGCAAGTACATATTATACTTATGTTTCAGATGAAGTTAAGCAATTTGTCTGGCATAGTGAGAGGCAGAGCCAGAATTTGTATCCTGTCTTGACTCAAATCTTACTCCAAAAGCCATAGGATTTTTACTATACCAAATAAAACATCAGAGTCCCTTCTCTCAAAGTGCTGTGGGTATTCAGATGGGGAGGGAGATACTTCTGGTTGTGGGGGGTACATCAAGTAAAGCTTTACAAAAGAAGGAGCACTGGAACTGGTGTTTGAAAGATGTGCTTGTTTTGATTATGCGGAGATAGGCTGAGAAGTGGAAGCCAAGAACAATGCCAAACAAAGGTACAGAGTGGGAGTCAGGGAATATGCAGGGAACAAGTTTGGATGAAATTTAGGGGGCGTGAAGGAAGAATGTGTTGAGTTTGGAAAGGTGTCTGAATCCATTGGCTTAGACATATAGGTATGAATACAAAACACACAGTCCTAAAACTTTAATGGTAACAGGGTGAGGAGTATCACCTTCTTAAGGGGACATTTTTCTTTTTTAATTTATAAAGGGTAAGAGAATCCTTCTACTCGACAACTCAGAATTTATATAAAGAGTGTTCAGTGTACCAAAAATAAACTCTACTGGTTTTTTAGAGAGAGATTGATTGGTTTCAAAAAAACAGACCATGAAAATTTTATTGAAAGTGTCTTGCTTTAATTTAGATAAACATAAGTTTAAGTTTGCTTTGTTAGAGTTTAAATTTTTAGTTATGAAACTCAGTACAATGCCTTAGTGTATTTCTTTGGGCTCATCAACCATCCAATATTGAAATGATGGATTGTATGTATGCTACACCTATCCTGAAGCTTCCCAGTGTATTTATTTATGGTGGCAGTACGGTTAACTGAAACACTCTTTCCCAGCTTCCCTTTCAGCTAGTTGTGTCCTGTCATTAAGTTTGGGCCAAAGAAATGCAAGGAAATAGGCCTTCCAGGAAAGTGCCCAGACATGGGGGTAATTTTTGCCCTTCTAGGAGAATGGGTGGGATAGCTGGAATCTCAATGGCCATATCGCAGATAACTTACTCTTTGGTACCTTTGAACAGAATAGAAAGAAACACCGTTCCTTGCAGATGAATTAGAAAAAAGTTCCTCTTCTGGGCAGCTGCATTACCTTGCAGTATATAGATCCCACTCACTTCTTGGTCAGGTGCCTTTGCAGTAAACGAAGTGCACAGCCATATGAGGTGGCCCTGACAGCTGTATTGGATGCTGAGGCTGGAAATGGAGCCATGTTCTAAGGATAGCAGGGAGGAGACAAATCCCTGCTGAACATGGATGTGCCATTTCAGCCCTGAATTCACTACTGCCATACTTCCTTTATGTGAGAGCAAAATAAAATTTATTTTAAGTTACTGTTATTTCTGATTTCTTGCATAGCAGCTAATTGTTAGTAAATTAAGGCCAAGTGGTTTGGTTTAAGAAGTGCTACCAGTAATTAATTAATTATACAGATGTTTCTTGAGCATTATGTATCACTCTGTGATGTGCTAGGAATAAAAACAGGGCTTAAAGGGGCGCCTGGGTGGCTCAGTCGTTAAGTCTCTGCCTTCCGCTCAGGTCATGATCCCAGGATCCTGGGATCGAGCCCCGCATGGAGCCCCGCATGGAGCCCCGCATGGAGCCCCGCATGGAGCCCCGCATTGGGCTCCCTGCTCCGCGGGAAGACTGCTTCTCCCTCCCCCCTCCCCCCTCCCCCCTCCCCCTGTGTGTGTTCCCTCTGTCGCTGTGTCTCTCTCTGTCAAATAAATAAATAAAATCTTTAAAAAAAAAAACAAAAAAACAGGGCTTAAAATCTAGGCTGTGAAAGACAGATGTATACTTACATAGATAATGACAGTATACCATGACATGGTTGCTCAGTTCGCATTTTGCACAGACATCTGGCCAAAAAGTGAGTGCGGGCTGGGCTCTGATAGACTGCATTCAAGCAGACAGGGAATCTTTTCTAGTTCATCTCCACAAATGAGATGTCTCTTTTTAAAGACTATGATTCAACCAAGAATAATGCCTTATCGTTCAGTGATTTCCAAATTTATTTAGCAGCAGTTACCCTTCTTTGAAAGAACCCTCACGCAGAAACAATGTGTTAGTCCGGATGTTTTGGTTGTAGAGGTCTAGCTCAAATTAATTTAGATGTAGAAGAGAATTTACTAGTTAATTTAACCACATACATTGTAATCAAAGGGGCACAGTGTGCTAAGAAAATACACAGTAGGACTTTTAAAGATGGCTCCACAAAGGAAGTGATGCTTGAGCTAAAGCTTGAAACATGATTTCAAGAGGAGGACAAAAATGGGAAAGAGCATACCATGCTGAGTAAGTAGCTTGTGCAAAAACATCTAAAAGAGCATGTCCTGCTTTGGAAATAAGTGGTTCATTAAAAGCAGGGGTGAGAGAGAGAGGCTGATAGTTAATGGCTTCAGGTGGTGGTGGTAAGGGAGAGGCAGATCATTAAGGGCCATATATGCTTGTGAAATTGGCTTTTCACTTATAGATTATGGGAAGTCATTGAAAAAGATTTTGAAGAGCAAAGTAAAATGAATAGAATATGTATTAGAAGGATGTTGGGATTATACTTAGTAGGGATGCCTTAATAGACAAAATGCGAAAACGCAGGCAAGAGACAGGCTGACTTAAGACATTAGCAGTTCACTGGGATGGAGGGAATAGATTAATGAAAGTGTTTAGTAGGTCAAATTGGTAGATTGTGGTGATGATGGGAGATAAAAGTTAAGGATGATTCCTAGGGTTCTGCATTGGGGAACCATTCCTATTAGCATGGTGGTACCATTTTTTTCAAAAGACTATTTATCTACCTAGAGAGAGAGTGTGTGCAAACAGGGGGAGGGGCAGAGGGAGAGGGAATGGGAGAGAGAGAGAACCCCAAGCAGACTGCACTGAGAGCAGAGCCCCACGAGGCGCTTGATCCCATGAACCTGAGATCAGGACCTGAGCAGAAATCAAGAGTCACTTAACCAACTGAGCCACCCAGGTGCCCCATGGTGGTACTATTTTAATGAGAGAGGGTTCCCCAAGGCCAGGAATAGATGTTGGGAGGAAAGACAATGAGCTCAGTTTTAAGCATACTGATCTTGAAATATGTACAGACTGTTCAGGTGGAGATATCCAGGAGGAAATTGACAACGTAGGTCTGAATGTGTGGCGAGAACTCTGGATTGGAAATTTTAAGCCTAAAGACGGTGTTAAAACCTGTAGCTCTGACCTGTCTTAGACTCAAAAGAGTGTGTTTGGGCCCAATATGAACCACATCTGAGAGGCTTAAAGAGGAAAGGCATCTATTATGGCCTCCATGCAGCCAAACAGCTTCTCACTAAGCAGTCAGTAAGTGAAATTGCCACTGTTGTGATTTATTATTTTAGATTAAGGTTGTTTCTCTAAGTAATTCCCTCTTAAAAATATCATTGGGAGGAATTAAACAGGTGACAGGATAGTGTAACAAAGAGAACAACTGAGATCAGTTCCTAACATTGACTTTGCCATTGACTGCCTGTGTGATGTTTAGCAAGTCACTTTGCCTTAGGTTCCTCATGTGGAATATGAGGAATTAGGACAAGGTGACCTTCAACGTTTGGTAGACTATGATTCAACCAATAATAATGTCTTATTATAGTTTAGTTCAGTGACTTTCAAACTTATTTAGCAGCAGTTAGCCTTCTTTGAAAGAACTTTCATGCAGAGACACAATGTATTAGTCAGGATGTTTTGGTTTTGAGGTCTGACTCAAGTCAGTCTAGAAGTAGAAGAGAATTGACTAGTTAAGCGTACTATGTGAAAAGGTGCAGCTGGACCCCATGGGTGACTGGCACCTCATACTGGTGTTCCACTAGGACTTGCTCTACTTTCATCTCTGTGTAATGGCTTCATTCCACAAAAGCAGTATGTGGCCACTTGCCATTATCAAGACTCCCTTCTTTCCTCAGACTACCACTGTAGTGGGACAGCCCTTCTTTCCTTATTTCCACCTGAACACCTCCTGGGAAAGAGCTCTGCTTGCTTTGGCTTGAGTCACATGCCCACTCTGCAGCCAAGAAGTTGGGGGACTGAGCTGCAGCTGCCACTAAAGTCACCTGTTTATAGAACAGGCAGGAATAGTTTCTCCAAAAGAAAAGAATATTGTCTGTAGGAAAAGGAAAGTTACCAGGGAGACAAATAGATGGTCAATATGTAAAACAGAAACTTTCTAGTTGAAGTCCCACCTACCTGGTCCCCTCTGTACCCTAGGTGGTTTCTGGAGTATACCTTTCAAAACCCCATGAGGATCCTTGGAATATAGCATTAAAATAATTGATTGTATTGATTGGATAGCATGCCAGGTGCCTGCAAGTCCTTGATAAACTGAAGTACTAGATATTTACTGATGGTGGTAGTGCTTAATTAGAAAATTTCTGGAATAAGCGAAGTACTAGAAAGAGTGGTGCTGATGTTGATGGGGCTGGGGTGGAGATTCTGAATATTCAGGGATCAAGGAACTTGAGATGGGAAGTATAGAAAGAAAGAGAAGGCAGGAGGGCACCAAGATGAACTTTGCCTGCTTTGCCATTTTATCTAGGACTAACATATCATATGGCACACTATATAATGGTGGAAAATGTTCATCTTTGGCCAGGGTGGCGTGATGGTCCTTGGTGTCATCCATAGTCATTCTAGAGAAAGGAATAAAGGGGAGGTTGATGGACAGAGAGAGTTGGTGGACCTGGAGAGGGGCAGAGGCAGTGAGTAAAGACACCTTTCTTGGATGAATATACCCATGGTAGATGGCAGCTCAAAAAATATTAGAAATAAAGTAATGAGGATACAGGGAGACAGAAGAGGAATAAGATGAGTTAAGATGGGAAGATAGAGAGGAATGTGGTTCAGGAAAGGGTAGAATATGTCACTGGAATATAGTTTGGATGCCCTGTCCGGAGGTCTGGGAAGTAAAAATTCAAGATCATCTTGATTAATACTTGTTTAAAAGCTGTACTGAGTATCAGGTAAAATTACATTTAATTATTTTACCAATTACATCTTACTAAATAAATGTGATACTTTTCTTGAAAAATTATGTAGCTACCAATATAAGTGTACTAAAATCAGTAAAGTCAAATTTAGTTCTTTATCAAATAGTAATGATGTTCTTAAATAAAAAACTTTAAACCTTTGCCTTTTGAGCAAACTGTTCAACAGAATTTCAGAAAACAGATAAAAGAACATAGTTCTCAGGGATCTTATAGGTCCAGTTACCTATGCTACTGACAGAAAAAACATGGAGATCAGATATACTCAGATCAAATATTAATTGCTAATTTGGAAAAGACACAGGTGGTCACTAGAACATCAAGTACTTTTTTTTTAATTGGGAAGAAATGAACAATTCTGTAACAATGCAAATAAACGTAAGTGTTGTTTCAGAACAAATTGTACCTACACAGTGCTGCTATTACCAACTTGGTCAAAAAGGCCTTACTTAAGCCAGAAGCTTTCAGTGGGATAAATCACTTTTTTTAAAAGAGAGACTTTTCTATTGTGTTCTTATTTTTAATGTTAATAAAAAATTGCAATGTCTGACAAACATGAAAAATTCCCATGTAATGAGACATCAAAACAGGTTACCATTCTGTTGCAAACTTTGATCTACTATAAAACTGCTTTTTAAAAATGGCTTAAGTGCTAATGTTTTGTTGTTATTGCAATGTATTTTTAATTGGAATCTTAGGAGTTTTTTAGTATCAATGATGATTTAATTTCTCAGCATCTATACAATGCCAACTATTTGGAAAATTATTTCTCTGATCTCAATCTCATAGCAAATGAGAAAAACAATCTGTTTTTGGGATGATATAGTTATTTTTATTAATATATAGAAGTTTTGCTTTCTTTTTGTTTTCGGTGAGTCAATACATTTGCTATGGTATAGAGAGAACATTCCTGAGAGTAGAGGTTATTTAAACTTAACCTGCATTCGATTGTTTTTTTTTAATTAAAAAAAAACAAACAAAGCCACCTACTATTGTTAACTCCGAATGTCACAATTACAATTATTCAATGGATTGTGATCATTTACTATATAAAATTCAGAGACCAACAATGAACATTCCCCATATGAACCTGAGCTTCAAGACTAGCAAACCACACCATTTATTAGTGCTTCCTTAACATCTGCAAAGGCTATCCCCTCTTTCCTCACCCCAGTCGCTACTTGCTAGTCAGCCTGTGAGAGTGATAGCAGAGAGAGATAGCATATGGTTCCAGTAAAAATGCCAGTGCTATCAGCCTTATCCTCCTGGGTATTGTTGTGACTATTAATTTTGTGTTACCTTTCATAATTTCATTTCTGGTTGTTCTGTGAGAATTTCCTGTTTAGAGTCTGTTTCCCCTACAACCATTGTGAGCTACGTAAGAATAGGGACTATATATGCTTATCTTTGTGTTTCTGAGGCTAAATACAATGTCTGGAACATAATATCCCCTCCATAGATGTTTGTTTAATATATATAAACGAATAGCTAGGAATTTATCTATCTATAGGTATTTTAAGAAGCTTAAATCTTTTGAGGATATGCCATCATCACATTTGTATTTTTCGGGTGTTTATTTTCCTCTTTTCTTCAGCAGTTGTAGTATTTCTCCTTGGGGGAAGAGTGTGTGCCAAATAGAAATGCTGTGGCAAAAGGCCATTCAGGCAGGTTTACTAGTCTGGGCTCCTGAAGTGCCTCGTTTCTTTGTTACTTACAAAGTTAGAGATCACTATTCATATATGTCAGCCTAGAGTGAAGATAGTTGGGAATGAGTGAGGCTTCCTCCAGGATTAGGCCATTTGACACCTATTACAGAGGCTGGAATGGGGGTGCTAGAGAGGGAAATAGAAACTTAACACGGAAAAAAAAAAAAGAAACTTAACACAGTTGGAAAACAAAGTAGCCCAGTCTTCTATATCTTAAGGGGCTTCTTCACTCACTCACTCACTTTCTGGTGACAAAAATGAAAGTGGTGCAATTGTTCTTTTGCAATGGTGGACTCCATATCCGACCAGTTCTGGCTAAATGATGATTTGTATGTACCACACCTTCCCCGCCCGCCGCCCCCCACCCCCCGAGGTAATGAAGACCTTTGGCTTTCAATAATAAAGGCCTAATTAATTGCAACCAACACAACATACTTAGTATGCTGAACAACACCCCTGTGGGGGGAAAAAATACTCTACGCTGCTAATATACCTATGCTGCTTGTTTAAGTACGCAAGCCCGGAGCATGCATCGAGAGATTGTGCAAAACTGCAAGCAATAGCAGTATTCTGCCTCTAGAGCTGGTATAATTTTTGGACTACCGGTGGTAAAAAGCAGAAGCTGATCCACAAAAACATAATTAAACCCCAGAAACTTAAAATGTCAAGGCCACATTCACCAAGTAAACATTAATCTTTCTCGTTTCCGTTTTGATGTTTTCATTCGGGGGGGGGGGGGCACTGCCAAACAAACGTAATTCTATCGCGAGAGGGGAGAATTAGCAAATAGGAAGGGGATTAACGCAGAGCGTCACAGGTTCTTTTATTTACCTTTCGCGACACAACTTACAGATGTTTTATGTAAAAAAAACCCACAAAAAAACCCATCGAAGATGTCAGGAAACCTCTCCTTCGTCACTTCACCTCACCTGGCGTCTCATTAGCTACCCAGACCAGCGCTCAGCTTCGCAGTCAGGCAGCCTCTGGCGAGCATGCAGTAAACAGCGCCGAGTCCAGGCACGAACACAGGCTGAGGAGGGTTCGCCAGTCTCTTCCCCACCACGGCTTTGTGGACGTAGATTTTTGATACCCTACCAGTCTTCCCAGCTCTGCTCGTCACTGAAGCCAAGAAAAGAGAGCAAAAAAGCGGTAAGGGTAAAGGAGAAAATGGGTAAGACTCCTGGCAGCCACGCGCGCACGCGCGCCAAGACCAAACGCCCTGACCAGGGGGCGGGGCCGAGTCGCGGCGCTGGAGCTCCGCCTCCTCCCCCTCACCCCCGCGCAGGGGAGTGACTGACTCTCGCCAGCCCCTCCACGTCAATCAACCCTCCTCCTTCTCGCACTCTCTGCACCTTGTTATTAATCTCAATACCGATATCGCGCGGACGCCTCTCCCCCGGCCTTCGGGGGTGTGAACGTGTGTGAGCGAGAGCGAAGGCACCGAAAGCTGGCGTCTCTGTGCAGCAGCCTTGGGCCCGGCAGCAGCGGCAGGCGCAGCAGCAACCCCCGCAGCGGCGGCAGCCCCAGTGCCAGGAGGCCAAGGCCAAGGCCAGGCTCTGCGCGGCTCTCGGAGTAATAGCCGCGGCTTCGGAGGCTGCGGGGGCGTAGCTTCCTCCGGCAGGGGGCTTTCGCGTCGGCGGCCGCGGGGCCTCTCCTGAGCGCCCAGGGTCACCGTCCCTGAAACCCGGCGGCGCGGCCCTCGTCCCCCTCCCCGCCCCCAGTCCGTCTCCTCGCTCCCGTCAGCCGTCCTCTTCGCCGCTGCCTCTGCTGTTCCTCAGGCGGCCCGGCCCGGCCCGCCCGCCCCGCGTCCCCTCCGGCCGGTGCCTCTCCCCCCGGCGGGCTGCCTGCATGTCTTTGCTGCCCTCAGCCCCGCCGCCACCGCCGCCGCCGCCTCCCCCGCCGCCGCAGCACCAGCACCAGCAGCAGCCGCCCCGCCGCCGCCGCCGCCGTCGCCGCCCGGACCCCGGCGCGCTGAATGCAGGTGAGGAGGGGGCGCAGGCCCTCCGCGACCCCAGGCCCGGGCGCCTTGCGCGCCCGTCCGCCCGCGAGCGGGGTGCGGGCCCTGCCTGTCGCGGCGGCTTCCCTTCGGGGCGGGCGGGAGCGAGGCCCGCCCGTGGGTGTTTGTGTTTGCGTCTGCGGCTTCGGAGGGGAAGCATCTGTGGGGGCCTGGTGCGCGCGCGCGCGTGTTTGTGTGTGTGTGTTTCCCCTGCCGCGGGGAAATGGCTGCTGTTGCCTCTCCTGGGCCAGAGGAAGAGAATGAGGTAGAGTGTTTTTGTGCCTCCGAGTAGATCGAGAGTGGTGGCAAGAGGAGCGCGTCCCCGGGGAAATGAGGTGGGAGAGGGACAAATGTGCGTGTGGGTGTGCGAGTTGGGACTCTGGCGGGCGGGGAGGCGGCCTGAGGACCCAGAGCGAGTGGGTGTGTGTCGGCTGTGGGGCTGACCCGCGTCGCTGTCGGAGGCGGCGAAGGTTCCGGGGTGTGTGTGTGTGTGTGTGTGTTGGGGGGTCCGCGCCCAGGGCCCGGGACTCTGGGGGCGGATTTCGTGTGTCTGGGACCCCCCGAGTGGCGTGTCCGTCCCCCCCCCTTTTGTGGCCGAGGCTCCGGTGCCTCGCAGGTGAGAGCTGCTCGGCTTCGGCCCGGCCGGGGAGGGTAGTGTGTGCGCGGCACGCGCACAGCAGCCAGGCCGGGAGAGCCGCGGGTCGGGGCCGCGCCGCTGTTCTCGGGGCCCGGCAGGAAGCGCGCCGGCCTGCAGCGCGGCCTAACCGCCTCGGCGCCCGCCAGCCAGCGCGCCAGCCTCCCGCCGCCCTCCTCGGACGCCTCCCGGGACGCCGGGCCCGCGGGGGCCCAGGGCGCTGCCTCGGGCCTGGGCAGGTGAGGGTCGGAGGCGGGGCGCGCGGATTGCCGTCGCCTCGGCCGCCTCCGCGTCTGCTGAGGAGAGGCGAAGGCAGATTTTGGCGTTCGAACTGCAAGCTCTTCCCCTAGCCGGCGGTGGGACCTGAGGGAAAGTGAATCAAAGCAGTAAAATCTCGGGAATACGCGGTGTTGAGATCCCTTCCCTTCCTCTTTCCCTGAAGGCTGGGTGGAGAGACTGAGTACACGTTTTCAGTTTTCGTTGCAAGTATTTTCTCTTGGATAATATGTATGCAATTTTTAAGATAACATTTTTCTTGAGAGGCGGGGGAAGAAATGGAGCCTGGCTTCCCTGTCCTGTGGTGTTGGTGGGATTGGATCGATTTTGTGCATTTGAAATTGTTTTATCCTGCCTCCTAGGGGGAAAGGCGTGTACGCGCCGAGCTGAGGAGGTCGGTGAGGAAGAGGAAGTTACTGTAGCTGTCATCGTCCTTAACTCGGCCTATTTAGCTGTTTAGATGGATTGTGTTCAGGGAGTTTAGCGGAGCCGTTTGTACACGTTGGAAGCACAGTACTACATTTTACTACCGTATTGCCTCTACTTATCTTAATTGTCAATCAGGATAGTCACGTACAAACAAACAAGTTTTCGCTCAGAATCTCCAAAACCTAGATCAAGTAGCCTTTATTGTCTACCCAGTGTGTGCTCCTGGAAAGCTATTTTGAGAGTAGTCTAAGCAAAACGGAACTATAAAGATAAAGCTGCCAATAGGTGTACAGTGCGTTGTAGACCCAAATATAAATGGTATTTGGATAATTATTTGCTCATCTACTTTACTCCACCCTCTTTCCGTTTGCATTTAGTAAGCTCATCTAGCTAAAACCGTATGGATAAAGTCATGATACAGATTGGATCTTTGCAGACCATGCTCTGTATAATGGCCAGATAGCTCTGTTTCTAAACCTGGTCTCACAAAGAAATGTTCCAGGCTGTTCACTGGGAACAAGAGTGGAGGGAAGAATAGGAGTGGAGAGCTGTTCTCTATGACCACTGCTGGAAAAACAACATAAGTAGTTTAGTGGAAAAAAGGACTTGTTTTACAGACCTCAGAACTCTGGCTGGGCCATTTTTCTTAGCTTTTTGACCTTAGCAAGTTACCTAATGTCTATAAACCTCAATTTTCTCATTTGTAACAAGCAGATAATACATTTATAGTAAGATTGACCTGGGGGTAGAATGAGAAAACATGTTTGGCACATAGTAGATGCTTAGTTAAATATTCCTCCTCCTGCAGCCCTGATTGTGGTCACTGAAAAACATGTATAGAAGTACAAATACCCAGGGCACCTGGGTGGCTCAGTCGTTAAGCGTCTGCCTTCGGCTCAGGTCATGATCCCAGGGTCCTGGGATCGAGCCCCACATCGGGCTCCTTGCTCAGCGGGAAGCCTGCTTCTCCCTCTCCCACTCCCCCTGCTTGTGTTCCCTCTCTCGCTGTCTCCCTCGCTGTCTCCCTCTCTGTCAAAAAATAAATAAAATCTTAAAAAAAAAAAAAAGTACAAATACCCATTTGATAATTGAGAGCAGTATTATGTAACTGTAGGTTAAAAATCAAGACAATAGAACATTTCAAAGTCCTTTGATAATACATAAAGTATATATAAACAGTTTTAAGTTGTATTTTATGTCTTTCCTAGAAATGAGACTGTCATTAAAGTGGCCTAGTATATTAGTTTATAGAGACTATCTAGTCATACATTTTTACCCCCATATTTTTGAATAGGCATCTCTCAGTTTCACTGCTCTTTATGAATTCTGTCTATGTAGCCCTGGAAAAAATTGTTCACACTGTATGTAGCACATATATGTTCCAATACAATCAAGCATTAAAATGGTTTAGTTTACCTTTATAGATTCACAAAGAATAGTGCCCCCAAAATTGCTGTGTAACTCTTTTAGTTCATGTTGACTGATTTGGAAAACAAAAACCTCTTGGAATATTTTCCTGAATGGTTTAAGGAAAAATCCTCAGTCAGCTTTCAATAGTTTTCCATTTTTATTCTGTGTGGAGTAGTAAATGTGCTGTTCATTTAATTTTAATTGTATTGTGGGAAAAAATGATATGGAATTTAAAGGCAATGGAGAGGTTAAAGAAGGATTTTTTTTTTTCATGAAGGCAGGGTGAAGAGAATGTGGGAGGAGTTTCATTGGGTTAAGTTTGTACTATCTGTTTACTAATGCCAGGTTTCCCAGTTAGGCCTTATTTTTATTTATATCAGCAATGTTAAACTTTAAAAAAAAACCTATAAAGCACTAAAATTTTAACACTTTTGTGAAGCACAGGGAGAACTTTTTTAGAATGCAAAATGTCATGGTTTTGTTTAAGTGTGTGTCTTATGGGTATGTGTACATTTACAGTGAACAGTTATCTGCCATATGGTTATATTTATTTATTTATTTTTTTACAGATTTTATTTATTTATTTGACAGAGAGAGAATGAGAGAGAGAGCACATGAGCGTGGGGAGGGTCAGAGGGAGAAGCAGACTGCCCGCCGAGCAGGGAGCCCGATGCGGGACTCGATCCAGGGACTCCAGGATCATGACCTGAGCCGAAGGCAGTCGCTTAACCAACTGAGCCATCCAGGCGCCCATATGGTTATATTTAAAGGAAGAATTCTTACCTTAAGAATTATAGATGATAATAAAATAAAGAAATACACAAATTATGGATAATTTTTAATACTTTAAGAACAATATAATAGGAATTTTGCCTTTAAGTAGATATTAGATATTACAAATTAGACATTATGAATTACAGTGTTTTAAAACACTTCATAATTTTTTAATTTGAGAAAATTGAGGAAAACATTTCTTTGTAATCATGAAAATATACTGAACTAAAATAAAATATTAAGACATGTGGACAGTAAAATTTATTAACAGTGGAACTGCTCATGCTATCATTGTTTAAAGTAATTATGTTACAACAAAATTAAGGTGGAAAATTGTTTAGATTTTAAAATTTAATGTTACTTAAAGGGCTTTTAAACAATCTTTCCAAAGTATCCCTTACAAATGTCTTTGGGGGGAATTGAAATACTTAAGACTTTGTGCATGTATTACTTTGGATAATGCTAATTAGGGTAATAAGTACACCAGAATTTCAGTGGCTTAACACATGTAAGTTTGTATTTTGCTCACATGTAACAGTTCTGTGCAGGT